GAATGGTGTAATGTATGAAGTTCATTCATTCACTCATCCCAACACATACGCCAGTCTCTAGGCAACCATTTTAAATGAACCAGACCCCTCTCATTCATTTTAAAACAAAAGCCAAACATACAAGACATAAAAACACAGTTCATCTAAATACAGCACAAGCAAAGGCTTTATAAAGAATCCTTTTAATGTGAATAAATATTCTCCTACCTAAAACATGGTCAGTGTCCTAATTTCTTGTTAAATATTCCTAATGTCTAATTAATATATCAAATACGCACACGTTGAAAATCAAACCCTCCATCATAACTCTCAGATCTCATTCATAATAAGATTTTCTGGTTATGAGACTTGTGAGATCCAGTGGTGTCTGCTGTCAATGATGCAAATTACACTTTAAAGCTACAGCAGAAGGTTTTCAGTAAATCATTTCAATTTTCCGCATATAAAGCTATAAAATAGATTAGATATAGCGCACAAGTCATATGGACTGCCTTTATAAAACTGTTATGTACCATTATGGTATTTTTTGTCCTTTTTGGAGCTTGATAAAGCTTAGATCAGTGGTCCTCAACATTTCTGACTCTAAGGCCCCATGTTGTCCAACAAAACATTTTGGCCTCATATATATATAGGCTATTTAGATATTTATGCTGTAATTATGACAAGGTTGCTTTTTTATCAACAGAAACTGGAAGAATTGATATATGAATGATTCCAGATGTTTCACAAGCTATATAAACAATATAACAACCATATTTGAGGGAATAATAAATAAGAAACATTATTTCAGTTTACAGCTTGACTTTGTGCTTTTATAGCATCTTAATCTTGACTACAGTTAAATTATTTTATCTATAAATAATAATTTATTCATTTAAATACTTTTAAGTTATCCTGAGGCCCCCATTTGCAGAGGCCCACTGATTGAGAACCACTGCCCTAGTTGGAAAAGACAGGTGAAATGTTCTGCAAAATATCTTATTTTGCATTCAGAGGAAGAAAGAAGAACATACGGGGTTTTGAGCGAGTAAATGATGACAGAATTTTAATTTGTGGTGAAATATATTCCTTTGAGGTATAAACTCACCTTAATGGGTGCAGTACTGAATTTAATTTTCCTGCTCGGGGGCGGATCCTCCTCCGTCGGTAATCCAGCAATCTCAGAGCAGCTCGACTCTGGCTCATATACATCATCTTCATCCTCCTCATCCTCAAGCTGGCTACCACCAGAGTCTTCTCCTACTGCACTGTAGGCACTGATATCCACCAAATCAGCCTTAGAGTAATTCTCCTTCAGAGTACCATCATCATCCTCCTTCTTACTGACTCCCACTGATGGACGAGCATGTCCATCCTCGCCCTTCCTTCCAGTGCCAGTGATGCCAGACTCCATAGTGTCTCTCTCAAGGGCCTCTCCATTGGAAGCAAGTCCCCCATTTTCTAAATTACGGACATCAGCAGAAATAAGAGTACCTTTTGTCTCTGTGGCACTGGCCTGTCCGGATTTACACTTATCTAGAGTCTTAGATTCATTGGCACTAGATTCATCCTTCTCCCCTGTCTTTTTCCCTTCAAAGGACTCTGTATCCACAGCTGTGATGCCGTCTTGAAGCTCAGAGACTCCATTAAGGCTGCTACACCTCGCGTCTTGTTCCTCCTGGTGCTGATTTACCATATCCTCCTTGTTTGCCCCTGAAGGACAAGCGCGTACCCGTTTGGTGATGATTTTTGAGTTGAGAGCACCAACACGGCCGGTGACCCCGCGCAGAGGCGGCGGGGGCGTATTGGATAGCCGGTGCAGGTTGTTCCGCAGCTCGGCGGCCCGCTCGAAAACGGCGCTGAGCTGGCTGACGGTGGGCGACACGGCCTCGTTGGTCCCGCCGATCGCGTCCAAGCTATCCAACGACTCCGTGCTGCCGTTAAAACGCGCGACCACATCCAAACGCGACGCATCCTGAAAGCCCGCGGCGCGTTCTTTCTTCAGTAACACGCGATTAGAAGCCGCCTGTCTCTCCTGCTGCTGCTGCTGCTCAAAGATCTTCCTCGTCTCCTGCAGCTTCGAGTATCTGGGCGACGCGTCCGTTTTGCTATCGAAGCGGTTGACGCGCTCGGAGACGCTAGATCCCAGTTTGAGCAGCGCGCTGTGATCCACGTTCTCGTTCAGGCTGCCAGCCCGCGGGAGCGTGAGACGCACCGCTTTGCCGTTTTCCTTTTGCGCGTCTTCAGCCTCGGTGGGTGAGGATGCGCCCATCTGCATGAACATGTTCTTGATGCGGTGCACGTTCGAGCCGTACGTGCGACCGCGGCTGGTGAGCTTAGGCTTGCCATCCTGAGCGTCGCCGTTATTTAAGACATCGTTCGCCGGCTTCAGCGCCTGAATCCCCGCCGCCTCGTACGCGTTGCGGTGAGGAGAGGGGCTGCGGAGCGCGGTGGTGCTCACTGGCTTGGAGGAGGATGAGGATTCGGTTTTCATCATGGTCTGTTAGGCTTCTCCGAGGCGATGCGATAACAGCATCTCTGAGCCCGTGGCCCCAGACGTTTCTGTCAGGACAAAACTGTCGCTGATGAACAATGATGTGCCCTGGAATAGATGAAGAGAACGGTAAATTAATGCCCATGAATGCGTGTAGAGTATCCGTCAGCGGCATGGCACAAGCAACGCACCATCTTCCCGTCTGTGAAAAACAACAACGCTGATTAATGTGTAAATCACACATGCATTGATGTACGACTAAACGAGAAACTAGAACAACGATGCGTCCTGGATTTTCACGACAGATTGTGCTTTTATAATCCGGATAGATTTGATCTCTTGATTTAGTCAGCTGCAGATTTCTGCCTTTCCCACTGATGCTGCAGCGGCGCAGCAGAGATACAGGGTCATAGAGCGCATCTAATTTCACACTCTCTCAGCACATTGATTTTTATGGGGTCACACATTTTAGTCCTCATACCAGGGCTCCATACAGCATACCACTGAAACCCAGCTATAAATTAGGTTTTGACTTAATATTATATTAGATTAGATTAGATTAGATTATTACACTATGCTCACACAGAGGATGGATTTGCAAATTCTGACTGTTATTTATTTAATTGTTGGTCTTTCTATATGCAGATGGAGACAGCAGATGACAGATGGTTTTTGGTCATACATTATATCTCACAGTTTTTGAGCATCTTTTTACTTTTACTTTTAGTCATTTAGCAGACGCTTTTATCCAAAAAAAATAACACTGAGCCAAACACACATGCTAAAATAACAACAACTTACTGACACATAGTAAGAAATGGTTATAAAAAACTGAAACAGAAGTGAAACAAGTAGTAGGATCTAGTAGTAGTAGCATCTCAGGCAATAAACTAGCATAGCATAGCATGTCCCACATTAGTGTTCTGATTTTGTGACAGCATTTTTATAGGTGGAACCCAGGCTCAAGGAAGCTATAGCCTACCTATAAATAATTTATATATAATTTATATTGTACATTTTTTTTTAATAACTTGAGTTCTACACTACAGCTCCAGTTGCCACATTTCTCCACTATATATTTACGTAATTGGCTAACCAAAATGAAGTACTTGATTAAATACTACATTAAATTACATTTTAAAATATTCGTAATCAGACTACAATTACTTTTTTATTGATTACATCATTAAATATTATTCACACAATACCAATAAATTCTAATTAATTGATTCTCTCTAGTTCCTCTTTTTCATCTTTTAAATGTTACTTTTTTTTAAAGTAGTTTACCTCTTATATACACTCAGAAAGTCCAGTTTTGGGGACATTCACACAGAGATCAGTCATTAGTCAGGTGACTACACAGCATTTGACCACTGGATTTTTAGGTTTAAGAATTGTTTTAACATTGCATGAACTATTTGAAAGATCACTCAGTAGGTTATTTAACCATGTATTACGGTGTCTTTGCAAGGCTTTTGTCTTTCAAACACATTAAAATGCATAAATTCACTTTGTTTTCATGTAGTGCATGGATTCCTGAACTTTTTTTTGTCATCTGAACCTCTTTCACCTAATATCTTAAGTACCCCTGAGATTTTAAAATAAATGTTTTAATAATTAAATATCACATTTGCATGTTCACGGTTCCCTGACGTCGCTTAATTGTCACGTGACATGCAAGTGAACATAGAATATTTAATCTTTTTTAGTAAGTGTTTTATTTTGATTGTTGTTACTTTAAAAATATGTATTTTAATTGTACATTTTTATGATTTAATTCAAACCCACTGCAGTTCATTTATAAACCCCAGTTTGGGAAACCTTGATGTTTAATGTACTTCATGTTGTTAATTACAACAAATGGAATATATTTTCTTACTGTTTGTATTTTTATATCAATATGTTACAATATTGTCCTACTTAAATTATTTTGATAAATGAAATAGGTCAAAAGTAATCTAAAAGTAATCAAAAAAGTAGTTTGATTATATTACCTAAAATGTGTAATGCAATGGATTACGTTGCTAATGAGAATTTTGTCATTTGGAATCAGTAACGGATTACAATTTGCAAGTAATCTACCCAGCTCTCTTTCTCTCTCTCTCTCTCTCTCTCTCTCTCTCTCTCTCTCTATGAGAAGATGTGCTACCACCATTTGCCACCTTTTAAGAATCGTTGTTGAGATGGGTTAATATTGTTATTTTAAAGATGACAGTTGAAACTGTGTGTCAATTATCTTGGGCAGGAAGGTCAGACTGTCACAATTCCAAAATAATAGCAAAATAAAGATAGTCAATTGACAAATGACAACATTTGACAATTTTTTAAAACTTTTTTCCTATATAAAACTATTAAGATATAAACTATTTGTGTTAAATATGAACGACAAATTGGTACAAAGGTATTATTATAGCTTAAATGGCACGCTCTTTTTGTTGGGTTTTCAAATGTTTTCTGTTCGCGTTCAATTTGCTACAAACCACCCGATGCACTAGGTGGCAGTATAATATCAATTGGTTTATCTGTTACCGAAAGCAGAACAGAGAGGAAAACTGCACTAGCAGACTCACACACGTGGAAACTAGTGTGATAACTTCAATCAAAGGTATGGGAATATAGGTATTCTTTTAAACGCATTGGCGAAATCAAAACGTTTAATCCTTTATGCGAAAAACTTTTGTCTGTGTTGCCATCACGATGGTGTAGAATGTGTTTTCGGCAACCCAAAAGAGTTCCGATTAACATAGCTTATTTTAACTATATATGCATACTTTTAAACATCTCTGTCTTTTCCCCTCGGTATAAGGAAGTATAAATATTGGAGTATCAGCATAAGGTGGTCCACCACGTATGCGGACTGTATGTGTTTCACGAAGTCTGTTAAGTCACGTTTCTCCCAAAAGAAGTCAAAATAAGTATTTTCAGACAGGTTGTTACTCATTATTGTATTAGTAATAAAATAATCTAATGAGGATCACATTGACATGAATGAAAGTTACTAAAAAACTTAAAAGTTATGACATTTTTTGGAAAGGGTAAATACTGTATGTTTGATTCTCATGAAAATGATTCACAATGAAAAAAATCCTTCATGGATCTTTCAACTACATTTCTTAATGTAAAGTGTCATTTATTGTGTGGTACAATCTGCACAATGGTTACTTGTGTATGAAAACAGAAATTCTCATTTTATCATATTATGTCTCTAGATGACATCATTAGCACATCAGTTGAAGCGGCTGGCTCTGCCTCAGAATGACTCTAATCTGCTCAGCCGGAGAGTGGTGGCCTCTGTGCTCTTTGACCCTAAAGATGCTGCCAGCATGGACCGCAGCACCTTCTATGCACTGGGTAAGTCACATGTCTTGCTAGAGCTTTTCCTTCTTTTTCCTCCAAGACACTGCTCTATTGAACTTGTATACTGAGCTCATCGATATGCAGTTACTGACGTTTATATACTTCTGCAGAGCATCTGCTCCTCGGTTATCTAGATGAAACAGGAGATTGTTCCATTGAAAATGCCAAAGAAGTCATGCACAGTCCATAAATGACTTTTGATTTTGTGCAATTATTTTTGCTTTGTAATAGCCAAATATGTTACTATTGAAGTGGGTGTACTATAATAAATAGGTTTTTATACAGGAACCGTCAGTGTTCATACTATCATTTCTGCAGTGTTTTATTTGGTGTATGCTCATTTGTGTTCATGGATTACTTGCTTGAATATACAAATATTTAAATTTTTGTTATGTTCTATGCAGAATGGCTCACAAGACTTTATGGAAATTGGTTGTTGCTGCTGAGCACTTTGTCACAATTTTTATTCCCATGTTAACAGAGACATTTATAATATAGTGACAACATTTGGGAAGTAAAAAGTCCATTCATTTTATGATTTATAACAATAAATATGATTTTTAACTAACACATATACCTTTTAAGACAGACCTACCATAAGTTCAGCGTTTAATCAATCGTATATGCTTTTGATGAAGCCATCTATTTGCATTATTTCAACTTATCTTTAAGATATTCATGTTTAACAGCTGAATTCCTGTTGAAAATTCCACAAAACAGAGCAAATCATGCCAAAAGAGCTTGCAGGGACCACCCACTCCCATGAAGCACCACAAATTACATAATCGACTCGGTCTCGCTATGCTTTTAAAATATTTAAATGTATGTGTATTTTGAATGTGTATAAACTAAAAATATAGGTTATTGTTCTTGTAGATGGAATCAACGACTTTAAATTAAGTTATATAATTCGGTAATGTCATTTGCATTGCTTCATGGGATTGTAGTTTTTTTTCTTTCACTAAAGCTGTTAAGTACACAGTCTTGTATTTTTGCCTTTTTTTGATTTTCAAAAACATTTTTGCATTGAATGAAAGTTTGTAATTTTGTGATTCACCTTGTTACTGGTTGGTTTGTTTTATTGCTTAAAATGCTTTAACAAGACTGTAAATAAAATGGATAAAGAATTTTACTTTTGTACCCCAACTGTTTCTTTCTGGTTAACATTGACATACAATTTATAAAAAAGATCATGTTGAGCTGTTCATAGTTTAGGGTCATCTTACAGTCATTGTTTCACATTGAAATTTTTAATTGATTAGCTTTTACCAGAAGATTTACTGTAATCATTCACCTTTATATAATCATTCATTGCAACAAGTATTAATAGTCATCTCGTCTAAATGTCTGCTGTTATTGATCATTCTGAATAGGCTGCACAGGACTTGAGGAGCTGATGGGTATTGATCCAGCGTTCAGTGAGTTTCAGGAGACTCTGTTTAGTCAAGCCTCTTTGACTTTAGAACGCAGTGTTCAGACCAAAGAGGTCAACAAGAAACTGGACAAGAGCATCTCACTCTTTCTCACTCGACTGTCACCTTACTTTCTGCTCAAGCCTGCTCTGAAATGCATTGAATGGCTAATACACAGGTAATCTTAAGTAGATTTGCTGTTGTCTCAGATTGTCCGTGTGAAATTCACTTTATCAGTTTTCAGACTGTCATTTTAGATTGTGATAAACTCATACACCTTATATATTGTAGCGTGGAAACAGTCTTCACTGATACAAATTGGATTTCAGATTCCACATTCATCTGTTCAACCAAGACAGCCTGATTGCTTGTGTTCTACCATATCATGAGACTAAAGTGTTTGTGCGAGTGATCCAGCTTTTAAAGATTGAAGATCCAACCCACAAATGGCACTGGTTGCATGGACTTCAGGTAAGCCATAATGTTTCTGATTCTGTCATATATGCAGTTGGTGTAAAGAAAGCTATAGCTTAATTTGGGACTCTTCTAATTGCACTGTGTTTTATCTATAGAAACCTGGTGTTCCCCTGGCCCGAGGAACTCTGCTCACACACTGCTATAAAGATTTAGGCTTCATGGATTTCATTTGTTCTTTAGTCACAGATTCAGTAAAGGTAAGACACTCTGGCTGGGTTTTGTGCAGGTTAAAGTCTGCCAATCCAGTAATGCTGCTAATACTTTATTGAATCATGTTGTAGGCATACTCTGGCTTTGTCCGGGATGGGAACTGTCCGCAGCTGCGTGTGATTTTCTCTTTCTATGCATCCACCATTGTTTCTGCGCTTGATGCAGTGGAGAAGATAACTAACTCTATTATTGCCAAACTGCTTCCATTTGTACAACTGGTAAGACAATAATTCAGTGACATAATGCAGATGTGGTTAAGTTTATAAATATATGTATACAGGTGTGTTTTTGATGGCTCAGATATTTGTTATAATGTATAGCTAATTATTCTTGATTTTGCATCAATATAACTTAGATCCTGAGAACATCAAATTCCAATTAAGTTTTATATTCAGGTTGCAGCCATATTCTGAATATGATGTGTGTATGCGCATACAGGCATCAGAATATTGATGTATACATTGTTTTGTAGGCATGCCAATCTATAAATGCGTGTTTCCTTTGTTATTTCTCGGCAGATTGAAGATGCTGCCACACTGTTTGCTCATTTGTTAGTTTTATTAGTACTTTCCACATCTTAAATTTAATTATCCTTCTCAAATTCAAAAATGCCTGACAACACTTCCACAAAATGGCAAGGTTCAGACACTCTGTTCTGAATGAGGTGTTTAAATGTAACAGATTAAAACAGGCTTATTCCAGGGGGGAAAATTTAAATTTGTGGAATCAGAATATTGTCTTAAACGGAATATGGCAATCAAATATGGTGTTTACATGACTAAAACAATGTTGCCAAATTCCATTTAATATAAGACTATCGCTCTTCATGTAAACATAGTCAATGACTGTTCCCAGTATATCTATCAGTAAACCTAAATAAGTTTCTGCTTTTTCCTCCCCATAACCAGGGCCTGAAATCTAACCTTTTAGACTATGTGGCTGCCACTTATATGATCGTGTGTCAGATGGCAGTGAAGGTAGTAATGGAGGCTCAGCTGGTGGACTCTCTGACCGTACAGTTGTGCAAGTGTTTACGTCGAACACCTCAGCTGTCCAGAGAGGGTTTGAGCTGCATTATCATCCTCTTGCAGAATCAGAAAGAAGGTGTAGTAGGTCCAAAGTAAGTTTTATGATTTTACTTGAATTAATGGTTGTATAAGATGTGTTCCACTACGTCTTGTTTAGTACGTTTTCTCTCACATTTTTCTGCATCTAAAATGCTTTATTATCTTGTGCCTTTTCCCATTAGGGCATTTGGGTACCTGTGTGCTATCCCCACTCTGGTGTCCACTCTCCATTGTATAGCAACAGTCCATGACATCAGTCCCCTTCTGCGTTATCTGCTGCCCCATCTTATACATTCTGTGATGGCCCAGGATGGTTAGTGTCTATCTGTGAAAATCTATATTCAGTTTAAATGATTTATCTGTGTTCATTGTTTTTGAAAACAGAATATGTGACCTTGTTACATTTAATCGCAACAATCCAATCAATTACAAATGGACAAAGTCAGGTCCTGCTCTACATTTTTTCTCATTTGAGAATCCGTTTCAGTAGTGAACAAAAGACCATTGTAATTTCCTTTTCATGTTGACTTGTTTGCATTAATCTACTACTTATTTAAACTTGCCATTGTGTATGTAAATATTTGTGGATCTTATGATGATTTGCTCCCAATATTCCTCATTTGCATGGAGTAAACTTTGGATAAAGGCATTTACAGATTGGATAAATATAAACCACACCAAAGTGCTTCAAGTAATGAGCTGTGTAAAATCAGACAAGTAGTAGAGTATTGGGGAAAATCTTTTCTCATCTCTCATGAAATGCAGAATTCATTTTTTTTTTTGTCGCATGTACGTAATAATGAGATTGCAGCTTGGAGCTGTATCCAAGCAACATTCATAATGCTCAAATAAATCCTTGTGTGACTTTGTTTGCTGATGACAGCAGAATACATCATCACGACATTAATTAACCAGTCTACCAAAAATTATTTCTTAAGGCTGGAATACACTACATCTAAAATGGTAGACATCATACAAGTGCCTTCTTTGTAATGGTTAAAGGGATAATTCGCCCAAAAATGAAAATTCTGTCTATACTTACTCACCCTCATGTCGTTCCAAACACGTAAGACCTTCGTTCATGTTCGGAACACAAATTAAGATATTTTTTGATGAATTCCAAGCAAGGAGATTGGTAAAATAATCCATGTGATATCAGTGGTTCAACTGTAATTTTACAAAGCTACGAGAATGCTTTTTGTGCGCATTATTTTAACAATGTCCTTGCTACGTTTCTGGACGTTGATCGTGGTAGTATCCTTGCTGTCTATGGGAGGGTTGGAGAGCTCTCGGAATTCATCAAAATATCTTAATTTGTGTTCCGAACATGAACAAAGTTCTTACGGGTTTGGAATGACATGAGGGTGAGTAATTAATGACAGAATTTTCATTTTTGGGTGAACTATCCCTTTAACGATTCTTGTTATGGTTGCATAGGAAAACTGGGCATCATGCACTAAATGTTTGAGGATCACACACTTCCAGACATTGAAGTTGTTCCGAACACAAAAAAATAATGCAGAAACATGCACCTCATTATTAGTTGATGCATGAAAAATGAAAACAATAATATGAAAACCATAACCCTAATGTCTTCTAAAATCAACTTGTTCGATATCTTCAGACTGTATGAAATCGTAGTCTGAAGCTAAATATAAGTCTGTGCTCATCATACACTATGCAGTTTTCTGTGAAATCTGTCATCACTGACTGCTAAAGATTTGATTACTGGCTCTGATTTTCAGCAGATAGTGTTGACTAGGTCAGACATTTACTTTTAGTCATTTAGCAGATACTTTTATCCAAAGCGACTTCCAAATGAGGACAATGGAAGCAATCAAAATCAACAAAAGAGCAATGATATGCAAGTGCTATAACAAGTCTCAGTTAGCTTAATGCAGTACATGTAGCAAGGTTTTTATAAAATTATATAATAAATAAAAAGAGAACAGATAGAATAGAAAAAGAATAGAGCAAGCTAGTGTTAGAGGCCTTTTTGCTTTTGTTAATTGTATAATAAATAAAAAGAAAACCAATAGATAGAATACAAAAAGATTAGAAAAGCTAGTGTTAGGGGTTTTTTTTTTGTTGCAAAAAATGGCCAAAAGTCATGTACTGTATTCCAGCTTTTAGTTTAACTGTCACTTCTCTAAACATTGAAAGTAGTTCAATTTCTAATCTGACTCTTATGTAACTCTTTAATACTGGAATCATTCATGCCTAATAACACAGTGGTAATCATAGTAAAATTGCTGTTATCACATGGTTAATTGCTTTATTTATTGTGTCCCTGTAGATGAGCAGCAGAATGAAAGTTTGTCAGACAGTGCTGGACTATTACAGTCCGTGTTTCAGGACCTTCAACTCTCCAGCAACCTGGAGAACACTGCAGCCAAGTAAGTGTGGTTTATATGACTGAATCTCTCTTTATCCTGGACATTATGTATGTATGATGATCTGATGATGGGTTCGATTTAGAATCTTCTACAATTATTATTTTGAGCAGGCTGCTTCTTGAGGAGTATGTTTCCTGCAGCAGTGAGCTTCCCTCGGATAGGATTTCAGCTCTTAATCAGAAAATTCAATCTACTGTACGACAGTTTGAATCCAGGCAGGTTCTCTTATGCACTTTAGTGCTATAGTACAGCTCTTAAAATTTTTATTTCATGTGTTTTGTTTCTGGTGTGTATCTTTAAGTGTTTTTTACTCATAGGTATCCATGTGCACTGGATGTGGCATTGGAAAATCATGCCAAAAATGTGTCGTCTGACCATGAAAAATGCGTGCTTCATCAGTTCATCTCTCTAACTATGAGCTGTGGAAAATATCAAGTAGGTCTATCAGGTCTTTTATTGCTTTAAGCAGCTAGTCTTTGTTTTAAAGGTAACAAATAATCTACAATATTGTACTGTCAGCTGACCTTTATCACAAAATAAATTCTGACAGGATAATCAGAACCTGATGTAAAACTGGAATGAGTGAACATAGGAAACTGGCAGGGACGGATTAATGCACGGGCCTACTGGGCACGTGCCCAGGGCACTAGACCAGAGGGGGGCCCAGCCGAAATACTGCTCCTCCAGGAACGCGATTTCTACCATGCCCCCTCAGGATTTTAAGCAAAGTGGATTTTGAATGCAGCTTCCAAAAGACAAAAAATGGCAGAATAATATTTATTTTATATTTAATACGATCACACCAGTGTCATTAGAACGTTCAGTGTAGCACAACATCAGCTGCCAAATTCAAATCTGCATTCGCGTTTTAGCTGGTGCGGAGCCAGACGCGCATTATAACCAATCACACACGATTCTGTTGAGCTTATGAATGCAATGGCCAATCAGAGGCGTTCAGATGAGTCATCGCTGAAAAGCCCGTGTTTTGTTAAATGTGCGTGCTCGCTGACGCTGACTGAATTCTGCTCTCTGGCGAATTCTCACATCAGAAACAAAGTGCTGATGTGTGTACGATGTAAGTAAGAGATTCATTTCACAGTGTAAATCGCTTCAGCGATTATAACGGGAGTTTTTGAGCGTGCTTGAACTCTGGCTTGACTAAAGTCAATGATAATGTTCTTTGATAATGCAAATATTCTTTGCTCTCTTTATGGACAATGAAAGTGTTATAATTAGTAACTTACAATATTTGTATTAAATTTTTGTTAAATACAAAGTCAGTCGTATTAAAAATATTTTAGGACGTGACACCCATATCTGGTACAAGTTAAAAGACGGGTTTTATGCATAGGCTAGTTAATAGATTACACTAATATTAGGCTACTTTTCCCATAGCCCATTATAGATCAACTAACATGATCTATAAAGGTGCAAAATGTATTTATTTATATTTGAGAATCGTGATATTTTATCATATAGTTAACATGTTTGGGAACATTTCAAATAAAAAAGGAACGCAATTTCAACCGAGGGGGGCCTTTAATCGGTCCATGCCCAGGGCACTGCTGCGTCATAATCCGTCCCTGGAAACTGGCACAGCTGTGCAGTACATCAGTTGCCTGTGTCAACGACTGTGAAAAAAATAATTTTGACAGCCCTTGAGCTAATGTAATTTGAATATTTATTTTAGTTGGGTTTTTGTAGTTGTACTAATTACCATTCACATCTTTCAACCCCCAAAACAAGACTTTCAAATGTTGTTCTTATATGCAGATCTTGCCAGATTCAGACACCTCTCTGATTCTCAGCCTGAATCATCCACTACCTTCTGTGAGAAATATGGCTGTAGACTACCTAAAGGAGATCCTCACCTCAGAACATGTGTGTATCTTTTGTATTCTCCTTTAATGTTAGCTTACTATTTTCCCCTTTTCATCCATGAGACCCACATTAATGAAGTCATGAGATGCTGGTTGTCCATCTGACTGTATATTTTTATGGAGCAGAATGGCTTTGATGAGGCATTTCTGAAGGATGCATTGCTGGAGAGAATAAAGGATGATGTGCCAGAGATTGTGCTGTCTGCCCTTAAAGCTTTGCAGGTAAAATGACAACGTCATGAATGTAATCTGTTTTGGTGATGTGAACTTCAAACTTGTCCTATTTTTGGTACAATCTAAATGTTAAACCTATGTTATGGTTTCCTGACAGCTTCACATGGACCTTATGGATGCGGAGGAGACTGTTTCCTGTTTGATTTCACTTCTTCATCGCATCAAACCATCAGCAGACTGGTTAGTTAACTGATGTTATACCTTCTTTATCTCCAGAATGATACAAATGTATTTCTTCAGTAGAACACAAATGAAGATTTTTAACTCAAACCGTTGCAGTCTGTCAGCCATATAATGGAAGTGAATAGGAATCACGGCTTTGAGAGTCATAAAAAACAAAACTCAAATTAAACCCTGCGGCTCGTGATGATACATTAATGTGTAAAGACACGAAACGATCGGTCTGTGCAAGAAACTGAACAGTATTTATATAATTTCCATATAATTTTTTTAATAATAAATTTGTAATGTCCAACATCCGGCGCGTGACGCGTGTACGTGCGCTGGCATAGTAGACATATATATATATAAGTAGATTCCCCCGGGCTATAGAAACAGTCACTAATGAGGCATCTACTTAACAGGGGGGCAAACACTTCTTCACACAGAGCCATGTAGTTTTGGATTTTGTTTTCCCTTAATAATAAATACTTTCATTTAAAAACTGCATGTTGTGTTTACTTGTGTTATCTTTGACTAGTATTTAAATTTGTTTGATGATCTGAAACATTAAAGTGTGACAAACATGCAAAAAAATAAGAAATCAGGATTCACCACTGTGTATATATATATATATATATAATCTATGTCTACTATGCCAGAACACGTGTCACGCGCCGGATGTTGGACATTGCGGTGTATAAGAGGTAAAAAATGATATAAATACTGTTCAGTTTCTTGCACAGACCGATCATTTTGTGTCTTTACACATCAGTGTATCGTCACGAGCCGCAGGGTTTAATTTGGTTTTGTTTGTGTATGTTTTTTTGACTCTCAAAGCCGTGATTCCCATTCACTTCCATTATATGACTGACAGACTGCAACGGTTTGAGTTAAAAATCTTCGTTTGTGTTCTACTGAAGAAACAAAGTCACCTACATCTTGGATGCCCTGGGGGTAAGCAGATAAACATCACATTTTAATTTTTGGGTGAACTATCCCTTTAATGAATCAGTTGACAGGAAGTTTTAATGTAATGGAAATTAAAACGGGTTCTTATAGTCTTTGTTCAAAAACCTAGTGAGCTGACAACTGCCTCCTAACTGATTTGGAACAGTTTACGTAACACTGTGTCTACAATAGAACTCATTATAATTAGTGATGCTGTCTACACTGGATGCGGCGCGACACGACAAATCTGTAAACTGCTACCGCGTACTATTTATGACGTATTGACACAAATTTCAAATGATTTTCAAGAGGAAAATAGTGTTTCCCCTAGGTTTACAGCTTTGGTGGGGGGAAACATATTTGACGCGACATATTTTCCCACGCGTGCTCTCTGTCCGCTGGTGGAAGTGTGCTCACCTGTGTAGGGCCCCTTTTAAATCCATTTTATGTTCTTTCCAAATTCAATTTTTTCCTTTTTAATTTTTCTGGATTCCGCTTTTTTCTGTTTTAATTTTTCTGGACTCCTTTTTAATGGTTAAAGCATGTCTAATCAATTAAAATCATGAAACTTATTCAAATTAAAATGTATTAAAAGTAAACAAAAAAAACTACATGCTTAGGGCCCTATGAAATGTTTTATTCTTTCTCACCATATGTTTTATTGTTACCAAATTCTATTTTAGCATGTCTAATCATTTGAATGCATAAAAACAACTTAATTTATTCAAATTTATTCTTAAAATAGCCTTTGAACTTTTTTTTTTTTCCTCAGAAATTCTGTGTTGTGTATTTGAATTGATCTTGTCATGAAGTGAAGGCATAATACATTAATTTCATTTATCTTTTAATTATTGAAAATGAAACAAACTTTATTTTTTGGCAAACAAAGGGGATTTACTATTAACAATAAAACATGGAAGAAATGTTGTGTGATTATTCCTTAAATTAAAGTTTTAATAATTTTAGTAGTAGTACTAATAGTATTAGTAGTGTTATGTACATTCTACTGAACAATATCTCTGGCACAGTGTCTTCAAGTTAAACAGAACTTTTTTTTTTGACGGGTTGCTGTGAATACCTTTACATTTCTGTGTGATATGAGGCTAGTTTTACTCAAATGAAATGGTAAAATGCTTATGAAGTGACTCTCCGGGTAGTTTTGGAGATGTTGTTCATGTATTTAGACCCTGAAATCACCGCGAACGTCACACGCTTCAGTATGTGTGTAGTAAATGAAACCGCGCGTCTTCGCCATTCATTAACACAGAACATGCATGATTTATATTTAAATAGTAATTTTTATGACTGGATTCCGCGATTCTGTCCGCGTTTTCCGCATCGTGGAAATCATAGGGCCCTACAATAAGAGTGCGCGATACAGAGAGCAGAGGAGAATTGTAAAGACGCGACCATGTAGAGACAGAAACGACATGCCGTCGCGTAAATAAGATACATAGCCTAAGGCTTGCTACAGGTCTACACAATCCAACCTGAACAGGTCAGAGCACAAATGCAGAAACTGCTGCTGCTGCTTTTTTTTGTTTTTTTTCATTTCTGTTGTTTAGAAAAACACTATTGTTTGAATTATGAAAAAAAAAAACTTATCAGTACCATGTACTTCCAGCATTGACTGATGCTGATAATTATAGATTACTTATTTTAATATATAGTGATAGTTACTTTTATATTGTGCATTATATTTTCATTTTGTGAATTGTACATTTGACATCTACACTGTTATTTGGTTAAAATTACACAAAATTGTATTTACGTAGGTCTAATGTTAATTGTTTTATTTCTTTATTGATTGTTAGACTTCTAGTGAGGAGGTAAATGAGTGTCTGCCAGTCTGTGTGATATTGGGTGAGTTTCTGCAGAAAATGAGCTCTGGCATCAATGCAGAGAGAGAACAAGGCCTCCTTCTGCTGTCACTCCTGCGGCTTTTCATCACGGCACTCAAATGTCCAGATTCTGCATTTAAAGGTACAGGACTGCTTATTTAGCACTTATTTAGTATTTTAGACACATTTGTCATTGTTTGTGGCAACTTACATTTTATGTAAACCTCTAAACCAGGGCTGTCCAAACTCGGTCCTGGAGGGCCGGGTGTCCTGCAGAGTTTAGCTCCAACTTGCCTCAATACACCTGACTGGAAGTTTCTATGCCTAGTAAGAGCTTGATTAGCTGGTTCAGGTGTGTTTAATTAGGGTTGGAGCTAAACTCTGCAGGACACCGGCCCTCCAGGACCGAGTTTGGACAGCCCTGCTCTAAACCATTTAGAGGTTTTATTTTTTTGAAAGAAGTCTCTTATCCTACCTAAGACTGCAAAAATGCAGTAAATACAGATTGGATGGATGGATGGATGGATGGATGGATAGATTGATTTGAAAATGTAATTAATTCCTTTGATGGTAAAGCTGCATTTTCAGCAGCCATTTGGTGTTCAATAAGATTTTTTTTTTATTATTAATAGAAAGTTCAACATAATGGCATTTAAAATATAATTTGTATAAATTGTAAATATATATTTTTTTTGTAACAGTGTAAAAGTCATACCTGTCAATTTAATGCATCCTTGCTGGATTTATTTTATGAAAAACATGTATTGACCCCAAACTATTGAGTAGTAGTATTCATCTGCATAAATCTCCTTGTAGGCTATATGTATAAGAAAAACGCGTGTTTAACGGTAATGACTGTGTTTAGAGAGCAGGGCATTTCTATGAATAAAGGCATTCACTTAATTAACTACAAATCTTTAATGTTCTCAGAATGGTCAAATATGGCCCAATTAATTTGCCTGAATAATTCATTATCTAAAAGAGATTTATGGTGCTAAAAATTGCATTACTATGTAATGTAATTTTTAGTTAACAAGATTGTGTTTTTCAGATGAGCCATGGTGGAACCCGGAGAAAATGGACGCCAATACCTGCTGTTACCTGCATCTCATGTTCCGTCTGTTTGACGTTGTGATATCAGGGGCCAGTCAAGGGCCCTTGGCTCCATGCTTCAAGAGCCTGATGCAGCCTCTGTTACAGGTACTGTATTCTCTTCACAGATACTGTTTAACACTGCATTATACTTAAGTGGAATATTATGCTGTTGATTTTGAATTTTACTGATGTAGCTGAGGCAAATTAGTAGTTTATATATATA